TCACTTTTCAAATGCAGACAAATAATTTAATGATTTCATAACTGCTCATAGCCTTCAGCTGAAACTATCATTAAAAAAAAACCCTACCAATAATGACAAAAAAAACAAAACCACAAAGTGAAAAAAATCTCTGTGTTACAGGAAAATCTTGGCTGTAGTCAAAGCCAATGTTAAGAGGGCGACAGGATTATGGTTATCCCCTCCCCTTCCTCAGACAAGCATATAATAGGTTGGGGACAGGGAGGATTGGATCAAGGTAGCTGTAATTTGCATCTAGGATCAAATATAAAACCAGCTGAAAACATTCAGGAATATTTTGCAGTTGGTATTATGTTTGACTTTTGTACACTGAGCTTTCAACAAGTATTAACATCTTGAAACAGTGTTTTCTTTGACATCTGAGATGATTCCTCTCTTCTAAAATGAAAGTCCTTCATCACTGTGAAGCCTAGAAAAGTGGGTTTCAGCTACCCCCACCCAAACAGCCCCATAGCCAAATACATCAGGTGATATTTTGACAGTGTTAATGACATTTTTTGGAATAATTTCCTCAAGTAACTTAGGCTAATTATCAGTTTAAATTAAAGGGAGGAGCAGAGCCTAGTCCTTTTCTGAAAATCATTTCTCAAAGTATGCAGCCCGTCTCTGGCTCTAAGCAATATCCTGTGTCTTCAGAAGAACCATTGGAAGGCAGGAAAAGTGGATTCTATTGAAGATTCATTCATCCAATATCAATGCCTCAAAAGTTGTCCTTAGCAGAAGTTTAAAACACACACACACACACACACACACACACACACACACACACACACACATATACACACACACACACCCCAAAACAAAAACCAGTTTGATTTCATAAAAAACAAATACATCAACTTCATTGCAGTTTTGCTCAGTCTCACTTAGTAACCCTGCTGAGATAGATCTGCTTTCCTCACACCATCTTCCTGTGCACTTGGAGTGTTAACTCAAGTTACCTCTGTAATTGGTACTAGTTTTATTTGTTATTTTTTGCTTTGTTTTGTTTTCTTTTTAATTTTGTGAGTGAGAGAGTTTGGTTTGACTGCATTTTAGGCTAAATCCAGTTGTTCCTAATGTAACAGAAATGTTATTCAGGAGACAAGAAATTTTAAAATGACCCAAATATTGGCAACCTAAGGCAGTCACAAATCAGGTGTAATCAGGAGTGACTACAGATTCTTAACTAGGAGTCTATGAACTTATTTTAAATAATATTTTTATAGATTTTATTGCAATGTAATTTATGTCATTTGTAAACCTATGTATTTTATTTTTATGCATTTAAAAATGTTATTCTGAGAAGGGATCCATAGGCCAGGCTGTCAAAGTGGATCATGACACAAATATAAAAAAGATTAAGAACCATCACCTACATGTCCATTCAGCTTTTAAAAAAATATTATTTCTATTTATCATTACATCCTGCCTTTCTACCTTCCCCTTACCCCTTGCATTTTGGCACAAGGTACATAAAGTTTGGCACATTTGGTACATAAAAAGTACCTTTTGGCACCCACTTGGTTGGTTTTACATCCAGAAATCTCTCTCCCCCCCCCCCCACTTTCAGATGTAAAAACAGCAAACATTTCTTCCCATTATTTTTGGGGAGACCATGAAAGCATGCTTCAAATCTTGTTTTTATCATGTGAGCACTGATTTTTTTAGCCCACTCATTTTGTGGGACTTGGTACTATTGTAAATGAGGGTACATTTATATCTCTATAGCACAGAATAAGACATATTGAAAGACTACTTATTAGCTAATAGCAGAAGTACAAATGTAAGATAGGGCAAAGAAAAAAAAATTCAGAGTCAGTCCAATGAATGTAAAACATTGAGGAATGCACATAGATAAGTGAAGTCATCATATAAGCATGAGTCACAGTTCTCAATTCCATCCTTTGTGTGCAGATACCTCTTATATTTGAAAAAAAAAATAGTGAAAAGGGGAAAGAACTTTGGGTCAAGAACTGAACCATGTAGGTAGGACCTTGTTAAATCTATATACAGAGATGATGAAAGTCCACTTAGAAAATATATGGTTTTCTAGTTTTTTGCTTTTTTTGTTTAATGGGTGAACTGGTTGGTAGATTAGAAATAGAGAAGGTCTAAAATCTATGTTTTAATTTGATGAAGGAGGAGGATAAAGGTAAAAACTAAGTACTCATGAAACATGATGAACTTGGATTCTTGCAAGCTATGAAGATTCAGTTTATTGCTTAGGTTCATGCAAACTGTTAAGTATTGAGTTGTTGCTGTTAAGTAGTATGGCAAATAATTTGCTTATTTCTTCAGAATCTGTGGTGAGTCCAGGTACATCACTAAAACAATGCAATTAGTAATATTATTAGTAGAGCTTCAAGCTGAGAGACGATATTTGGTTCAGGGGTAAGAATACTTTTTTCCTTTTTTAAATTAGAGAACTTTAGTTTAAATCCCAGTTCTGCTACTCGTTATCTGCCCAATCTTAATATCTCTAGGTCTCAGTTTCCTCATCTGCTGGACAACACAACCTCAGGTCCTATCCAACTCTACATCTGTGGCCTTATGTGAGCTTTGGGTGGAAGGAAACCATTACAATAAAGTTATTTTAAGCTTAGAATTTATCTTAGTTTCATAAGGACCTGTTAAATGAAAATTCAATACAAGCTATAGCAGAAAGGTTACGACTTGGGGTGAATTATAAACATCAATCAATTGATCCATAAGCATTTATTAAGTGCTTGCTGTATGTCAGGCAATGTGCTAAGCTCGGGGGCTAAAAGATAAAAGTGAAACTATCCTTGTTCCCAAAGTGCTTACATTCTAGCAGGGGAGCTAACATGAGCGTATATAAATATACACAGAATGTAAACAAAATGCATGCGAAGTAGGTTTGGGAAGGAGAGTATTAGAAGCTGTAGGGCTTGGGAAAGGCTTTAGAGGTGTCACTTGAGCTGAGTCCTGAAGGAAATCAGGAATTCTAAGAGTTGGAAGTGAAGAAGGTATGGATTCCAATAATGGGGCGCACTAGTGCAAAGGTTGGGAGGCTAAATATTTAGCATTGTATGTGAGTAACAGCAAGTAGACCAGTATGGCTGGACCATAGAGTGTGTGGAAGGGAGTAAAGTGTAAGAAAACTAGAAAGATAAAATAAAATTGTGACAAACTTAATATGCCAGACAGAAGAGTTTATATTAGAACCTAGAGAGGGAGTCACTAGGGTAATAGGGAGCCACTGGAGTTTATTGAATTGGGGGAGCAGAACGTGCTTTGGGAAAAGCAAAAAGCAATACGAACACAGGGGAAACACCTGTTTATTTTCTTAGGCAGAAAGCAGAATGAATCCTGAGAATTCGAGAAAGCAAGGGTAGTAAATATGCTGTCTCCTGGTGCATAAAAGTATCAGCTTTCAATGTTTAAGGACTAGTTGCACGTATAGCGATCAGGTAGAATTTAATTCTTGGACAGCGTAGTTAGAGAACATACTCTTGTATCCCCATTGGAGAATGCCCTTTGCATATATGCCAGGAAAAATCCTGACCTCCCGTTACCTGCACAAACGTGCATAAGCTATTTTCTGTGTAAAGTTCTCTTGATTTTCAGAGACCTTTTTTAATTACAATAAAAAAAAAATCCACTGTCATATGAAACACTCCATTCCTTGCCCTCTGCAGTTAGAAGAAAGAAATACAATTTTCCTTCTGAACCTCCTACTTCTGGCTGATTCTAGTCCTCAGAATCTGGAACTGATATTACTAATCCAGTTATTTAAATACAATCTTTCCCTGCTAGCCAGGCTTCTAACTACTTACCTTCAGTTACAGGGCTCATCTGGACCCGTTATTACAAGGGCCAGAACAAAACATTTAAAAACAGAAAAATTTAACAGAGTTAAAAGAATATTTAAACTGGTGTCACAGTGTCCACATTCTCTCCTTTCCCCCTTCTACTGCAAGTGTCTAGTCAGTCCCCCATCTTTGAACAGTATTGGTGCAGGGGTCTGGACTACAATAAGGAAGCCTACACCCACTTACCTACCTACATGTACCCTGGGCTTTGAATAGGACCTCTCTAGCCTTATGCACCAGATTGATGAATATGAGACATGTTGTGTCTAAAAAGAAGTCATTCACGTTCCTTCCAGTACTGAAGAGCAAAATAGTTAGTGTTGTGGGTGCGAACCATCCCTTCAAATGTTTCCCAAGACCTGACTCTTATTGTGAAGGATATAGCCTAGGCTGTGAATCTCTGAAAGCAGGAAACCCCATTTTCTATTTTTAAAGTAGATGTCTCTATTTAAAGAATGACATCAGGACCTGTAACTATGCTTACAGGAGAATAAATCTCTTTTGAGATACTGTACAGGAGCCAGGGAAGAGAAAGGGTAGGGAGAGGTTGAGGGGAGGGACAAAAAGGGGTCCCTCTCTGTATTTGGCTTAGAGAATTTATATTCCCTAGTGCAGGGAGGAGAATCAAGCTAATTGTTCTTTCAACAGGAAATCTATACTGGAGGAAGCAGGTGTTGTTTGGTGATTGTCACTTTAAAAAATTACGGTATCAAGTACCTTGCTCTTTTGAGCTTATCCCTGAAATCGTTGATTGGTTGGCTTTTTTTGGAAGGCACCATCCCTTTTATCTAGAATAATAGTACTTAGACAGTCAATTGTCAAGGAAGAAGAAAGTACTTAAGTAAATATGAATCCTAATAACATACATACACCACTGTTTATGTAAAATATACAACCTGCCGATTTGTTCATTTTTATTTTTATTTTTTGTGGTTTTTTTGTTTTTTTTTCTATTTTCTTTTGCTTTTTGACTTTGAGCATTTCATGCCTTTTGGGGAACAAACCCTTTTGGAAAACTTGACTGACTAAGAGCGAATTCTTATTTTTTAAAATTGTTTTCAGACATTTCATGTTCATGTAAACTTGGCTTATTGATTTCCTGATTTTTCTTTCTTTATTTTTTTTGTTCATTTTATTTTTAATCAGCTACATCAAATGGGTCTTTGGAGGGCCTGGATAACCAGGAGGGAGGGGTGTGCCAGACAAAAGCCATGAAGATCCTCATGAAAGTTGGACAAGGTAAAGACCATCTGCTGCTTCATGAAATCCCTTTGATCTGTTTCAGTCCCCACACTTAGAGTTCAGGCTTCTTTTAATAGGGTGGACCAGTGTGTGCCAACAGAGTCTAGCTCACTCATTCTTCCCCTGAGTTTTGAAAGCAAAGCCTGTTTTACTGTACTATGAGCTACTGACAGATTTCCTCAAATCAATGTAATAAGAATCTTTTATTGGAGATCTCTCTAAAAGGAAAGGCTAGCCAGGAAGCCAGCATTTCAATATTTTTGTTTTCTTTCTTCAAAAGCAAAATATCTCCACGGTTCAAAATTACATGATATAAAATGAAAACCAATGTTTCTACAGTTTTGCTCGTTCCTGAATTCTGACTACAGAAGAGGTTTTTGTTCATTGTGTCTTTTCATATATAGATAACCTATTGTGCAGAAAGAAAGAATTATTCTTCTAATTAGAAATTGGTATAGTAGTCAATCAACTTGCTCAGTTAAATTGAAATGTCATCTGCAAAGCTTTGCTTGCCAAATGCAAGAATCCCTATAGTTTCCACAGATGGCCTCACAATCTAAACCTCTGAAATCACTAGTATAACCATTTTGCTTTAAAAGGAAAATTACATTCTTGTATCTCACAGTACTTTGCATAAAGAATCTTCTGTTCAGAGCTATTCATGCCTCATGAGATCTATATCCAGCTCATAAAGCTTAATATCATTAGATGTCTAAGCCGTAATTAATCATTTGTTTTTCATATAGATGCCAGTTCTTCTGGGTCAACCAGGAATAATGACCCAACAAGACGTCCAGAACTGGAAGCTGGGACAAATGGAAGAAGTTCAACAACAAGTCCTTTTGTAAAACCAAATCCAGGTAGATGAGCACGATTTTGTTATGGGGTGGTACTTTCTAATGTAATGACCAATTGGTCACTTCTCTTCCCCCCTCCCCCCCCAATTACGTTAGGATTATTAGGTTTTCTGTTTGGCTGATTGTTTTATTGAAAATATTGTCATCTGTAATCAGCTGAAGATAATCTTTTAGGGATAGAACCAAATAAAAATATTTTTGTTACCCCTCCCCATCAAAGTTTTTTCAAGCAGTGAAACAAACAAATAATCTCTCCTCCAGCACAGTCCTACACCTAGTTAAATTTAGAATTAACTGCATCTAATAAGAATAAAATCTCTTTCCAAGAAAGTTTGGGCTATATACACATCTCAAAATTGCTTTATTTAGCTGCTATAAGAGCTAGTCTATAACACTAGCCTGGCAGAGCCCAGAGTAATTTTCAGTCTTTCTTTTTTCCTTCCTAATGCATTATCAAGCTGGTTTTCCACATCAGTTTGAATCTTACATTAATGTATATATAATTAATGGTCTAATCTCTCATCTAATTATATCTAGTCCACAAAGAGCCTAATTGATCCTTTTGTACATTTCAGATAGTTGGGTTTTAAAGATTATTTTCTAGGCTCGGTCTTTTTTTTTTTCTTTTTAATAGAGCACTTTAAAAATATTTTGCATTTTAAATTTATATAAAAATCAAACAGATCACTGACAGAGATTTAGAATATTGCCAGGCAAACCTGATTGTCATTTGACTTCATTTTCTTAACAGTCTTCTTCTAGCAATAGCTATATATTTGTTGCCATGCTAATGAATTTTTTTATATAGCACTTGTTGAGTGGAAGTCAGCGATTTTGTGCTCTGGGATCTGTGTGCCTAGTGGGTAGTCATGTGAATTTAGCATCTGCAGCAATATTCTATCTCTTATCAAGCGTCAAGGAGGGAAGTTGTTATTTCTAACTTTCTATGACAAGATGTGTCAAATTCTTGTGACAAACTGATAAATGGATAATATAATGATGCCAGGCAATTTTTTTAGTTCTTAACATTTGGGTTGGCAGTCTGTTCAGTGTGAGAGTTTCTCCTGCTTTCCAACTGTATTTTAAGTGCAAATCAAAAAATAAAAATGGGTTACGAGTGGAAAGCTTTCCTGGTTCTCATCATTCTTTTCACATTCTAAGGCTGTTCTACCAGTAGGCGGGGCATTTCCTTAGAAGCCAGCTATTTTTGAAGACTCCCATGAAACCACCACCCTTAAAGGAAGGCGTCAGGGCAATACAATGTGAACAGTAAAACCTGAGCTGAGAACTGGCCATTTTCTTTTTCTTCCTTCCCCGCCCCCGTTGCTGCCTTAGGCTAGCTAACATCGGTTAAAAGATGAGGCATGAATCAAGAGCTGGCTGTCACTGCCAGTCCTTGCTGCTGATGGATGATGATGTATAAAAAGAAAACAATGTGGTTTGAAAGCAGCATAAAAGTAAGACCCAGAGACACAAAGTCTTGTTTCCTATTGATTGCTGACTTCTGCTGTTTGCATTCAGCTGTCGAACGGGGTAATTGGTTTGTCAAAGTTTAGCTGCCAGTTAATTCTTTGGTTCTGCTTAGTTTTCACATTTTTTTTTTAAAGGGCCGCAGAAATAGCCTGTCAGCATCCAGGGCAGTGATAAATTCTGTTTTTCTCTTTCTGTCTTTGATTCTCTCTAGGTTCTAGCACAGATGGCAACAGTGCTGGACATTCGGGGAACAATATCCTTGGTTCCGAAGTGGCCTTATTTGCAGGGATTGCTTCAGGATGCATCATCTTCATTGTCATCATCATCACCTTAGTGGTTCTTTTACTAAAGTACCGGAGAAGACATAGGAAGCATTCACCCCAGCACACTACGACACTGTCCCTCAGTACATTAGCCACCCCCAAACGAAGTGGCAACAACAATGGCTCTGAGCCCAGTGACATTATTATCCCCTTAAGGACTGCAGACAGTGTTTTCTGCCCTCACTATGAAAAAGTCAGCGGAGATTATGGGCATCCAGTGTACATAGTCCAAGAAATGCCTCCACAGAGTCCAGCAAACATTTACTACAAGGTCTGAAAGAACTCTCTGGTGGTACCTTTTGATTTCCCAGAGGAAACTTACTGGTCAGATGCTTTCAGTTGAGGGTTTTTAATGGCACATTGTGCATTAGGATTGACTAGAGCACAGTGGGGGGAAAAGGCACCAAGCCCCTTCGCGGAGAGCCTTCTTGAGCTGGGACAGCTTACCTAGTCTGTAGAATTTCTGTCTTGGTGAATAAACATTCACTAGAAGCTGGAAGACTTTATATAGAAGATACCCATTCTGATTGCTGTACTGTTGTTACATTCATCATCCTCTAAGCCATGGGATGCTGCAGGCATTCAGGCATGTATAAAAAGCCAAGGGAAGAAGGAGTGCTTTGTGGACAACACTAGTTCTAGACGTGCCGGGAAGATGTTCTAGGATCTGGAGCTTGCATTGCAGTCTCCCAACTCGGTGTGTGTATCTCTCTCTCAGCGCGTACTGGATGTGTCCCACAGACCTCTGTGGCTAAGTAAGACTCTTAAAAGTTCTCTTGCTTTTAGTTCAACACTGTTCCATTCACTTCTGTCGTATCCAGGGCCCTGCCATTCTTCTTCACACAAGATTTCCTTTCACTCCACATCCGGCATCACTAATGGAACATTAATGTTGTTGGGAGTTCTTTGCTCCTTCCATTTGCTACAGCAGCTATAGTTGAATGGGTAATACATTTTCTAGAAATTGTGTTTGCTAATAAGGAGCCTTCCAGCCAGAAGTTAGGCCGGTCCGCCGAATAAGACTAGGAGTTCATGGATGGGGGTGGGGCGGGGGAAAGGGCTGACTGCAATTGCAGTTCATGCTGCTGCCTCTGAAACATGAAGCTGGAAACAAACAAACAAAAAAACCATTTTTAGGTAGCACAGCACTTTGGTTTGCTAAGTTTTAAGAGGCAAGTAGGAGACACAACACCACACGCAGTGGATTAGGGCTGCATTTGAAGGAATTCACTGTTATCAAATAGCAATGTTCGGAGAGAAAAAAAAAATAGTACCTTTTGGTTCAGTAGAACAAAGGGGGGTATTGTTAGTAAATGAACAAGCTTGGAGGGAAAGACAATAGTAGGCCGCTGATGATATATTAGGGCAGGACTGTTGTGGTACTGGCAATAAGAGACACAGCTCTGAAGCTGTAGGAAAGTCTTAGTCTGCTTTGGGATGGTTTTTAAAGCAGACTCAGCTGCTATACTTATCACATTTTATGAAACACAGGGAAAGCATTTAGGAGAATAGCAGAGAGCCAAATCTGACCTAGAAGTTCAAAAGCCAAAGGTCAAATGGGCTGTAATTTCCATCATCATTGACATTATTAAAGAATTCTCATATATAAAAGGTAGGTCAGACCTCTCCCCCTCCCCCTCCCCCTCCCCCATCCTATACACAGAGACCCAGATTGAGCCTTATGACACTTTGGTTTATGGCAGTGCTGTCCCTGCTGCATGGTGAAGTCTAGGTACTGTGACTGACACAGCAGTTCACCCGGTGCTCTGTTTAAAAGTAAAGCACATATGGCAAACCTCTTAAGAGTCCGCAAGACTGAAATAAATTATGATGTCGAGGGGGAGGAGGAAGATATGACTTATTTATAATAGGTGTATAGAACACAAGGGATATAAAATGAAAGATTATTACTAATATATATTTTAAGATTGCACGGAGTGCACACCAGAAGATGTGAAATTCATTTGTGGCAATTAAATGGTCTGACCTCTCAGTGCTTTAAAAAAAAAAAAGAAGAAATTTTTTTTTTTAATTGGACAGCTACTTCTGGGAAAAACAACTTCATTCCAAAAATAACAATAATGAGAGCAAATACAAAAATAACAGAAGTCCTCTGAAGGCATCTCACGTAACAGTAGACTAGGAAATACAAGCCCCAAAATACCAGGAAATCGATGTTGCTGCATCATATATTTAACAATGACAAGATGTTCCGGCATTTATTTTCTGTGTTGTGTTTTCCCTTGCCTTATGGCTGAAGTGTTCGCTAGAATCCAGCAGGTCACATTGAGGGGGTTCCAGTTAAAAGTTTAGCTTTTGCCCCCCCCTTCCCTCCCCTCCTTCTCCCTGCCTTCCCTTCTGAAGAAAAAAAAGTAAACACGAAACCTACTTTTTATGTGCTATGCAAAATAGACATCTTTAATATGGTCCTGTTACTATGGTAACACTTTGCTTTCTGAATTGGAAGAAAAAAAATGTAGCAACGGCATTTTAAGGTTCTCAAACCTCCAGTGAGTACCTGCAAAAATGAACTGTCACAGAAATGATAATTCTCTCTATTTCCTGAACCTGAAAAATGATGTTGGTCCAAAATGTGTGTTTGTGTGAGAGAATGGGTGTGTGGCGTGTGTGTACATATATGTATAATATATATCTGCAATATATATTATATATATCTATATCATAGTTCTGTGGAATGTTACCATGGTGACTAACCGCAGTACATATGTAATTCTTTCCATCACCCCCAACCCTTTTCTTCTTTATGTGAATCCATACAAGATTTTCTTGTAAGCCATTAAAATTTTATTTTCAGGGTGGGGAGAGGGAAGAGAAGGGGGAACCTGGGAATAGTGAGTCTGATTTTAATGAAATCAAATTTATGTATCATCAGTTGGCTACGTTTTGGTCATGTACTAAACTGTGAAAAATCAGATGAATCAATGAAGAGTTACCTGCAACCAATTGAAAAATGTGTACTGTGTGTCTGTTTTGTGTCTGGTGCAGAATATGACAATCTACCAACTGTTCCTTTATTTGAAGTTGGTTCAGCTTTGGAAAGTTACTGTAAATGCCTTGCTTGTATTATCATCCCTAGTCACCTGACTTTGGAATTTGCACCATCATGTTTAAGTGAAGATGCTGTAAATAGGTTCAGATATACTGTATATGGATTCGGGGTGTTACAGTAGCCTTATTCACCTTTTTAATAAAATACACATGAAAACAAGACAGAAATGGCTTTTCTTAACCAGATTGTGTACATAGAGCAATGTTGGTTTTTTATAAAGTCTAAGTAAGATGTTTTGTATAAAATTTGAATTTTGCAATGTATTTAGCTACAGCTTGTTTAAAGGCAGTGTCTTTCCCCTTTGCACTGTAATGAGGAAAAAAAAATGGTTTAAAAGGTTGCCAAATTGCTGCATATTTGTGCCGTAATTGTGTACCATGAATATTTATTTAAAATTTTGTTGTCCAATTTGTAAGTAACACAGTATTATGCTTGAGTTATAAATATTTTTTCTTTCTTTGTTTTTTTTTAATAGTCTGTCATAGGTTTTTAAATCTGCTTTAGTTCCACATCGCAGTTAGTCCTCACCCCAACCCATCCCCACCCCCCAACCCACCCCACCCCCCGAAAATGAAAAATCCGTGAAAAATCACATTCCAGGTCTGTTTCAAACTGAATTTGTTCTTAAAAAATAAAATATTTTTTTCCTATGGAAAAATTGCCTTCAAAGTATTTTCCTTTCCTCTTTTTTTCCTTTTCTTTTCTTTGGTTCTTTTCTTTTCTTTTACCCTAGTCTATTCCTCTGTAATTGCTAGTCATTTTACTGGTTAGGATTCTCTCCGGAGATATGTATTCACAAACTTTTCAGAGTAGGGTATGTACATTATGTCGCCCTCAATATCAGCTGCATAGTCAGGAACTCACAACCATTTCCTGAAAAAACTAGCCACACACTTAAAAAATAATTTTAGATCTTCAATTTTCTAAAACCCAGTCCTTCTGGAAATGTTCCATAGTTTAATTAGAAGTGCATTATTTGAATAATCATTCACAAAGACACTGCACTTTGCTGGGGGGGTGGGGGAGGGGGAGATTGGAATGTGGTGGGAAAGGAGGGGAGAGATACCTTAGTTATCCTAACTTTGTTTCTGAATTGTCTTAGTTTCCACTTGGGAAAGACAGCTTATTAAGCACAGCCCTCGCTGTGTAATTCCCATTTGTCAAATTATTTGTCTTTTTTGAATAACCTAGGGAGGAATGACTGACAAGTTAATGCTGCCAAAGAGTAAACCTATAGATGAAGCCTGGGTTGTTGAGGCATATTTGTTGATACTGGACTTGAGGTAAGCTTGGAGGCTGGCAGGGAGTTTAATCGGCTTTACTCACATTGTCTCCACCTCAGCTTCTTACTTGCTTACTTACATGTAACTACAAAAAGTAACCCTCTTTATTTTGCTTTTGGTGTAGGCCATATTTCCTTAGGAAAACTCAAGGCCCAGGACATTTAGAGAAAATACGACTAACTACCATCATTAGGGGAATGTTCTAGTTGATTTTCCAGCAGTGGTGATGGATTTGCATTTTTTTTCTCTCAGGCTTCTCTCATAATCAAATCAGCTGGCTCTGGCCTATGGCTATCATCTGTGGCTAAACAATGGTAGCATTATGTGGTAGAAAGAACACTGCCTTGGGAGTCAGGAGGACCTCGATATGCCTGTTGACCTTGGACTAATCACTTAACTTCCCTGGGACTCTAATGAAAAATGGATGTTGGATTAGGTGATCTCTGAGATCACTTCTTGTCTTGAAGTTCTGGCTCCCTACGGGGAAAAAAAGAGAAAAGAACAATACTGGAGTGTTGCTATTGATTGTGCTTTCCAGTTTCACTTCGTTGCTGGGATGAGGGATTGCACAGGATAGTGGATGAAGCAATGCATTTTGAGTTAGGAATATCTAGGTTCAAATCCTGACTGACATTAGCTGTAAGACTCTTGGCATATGTCACCTAATTTCTGTCTGTTCCCTTATCTCTATAAATGGGGATAACAGCACCTACCTCACCGTGTCCTTGTGAGGATCAAATGAGGTAGCCTCTGTAAAAGGGCAACACGGTATAGTTCAAAGAACTATAGGACCCTGGGTAAATCACAACTCCCCTGAGCCTCAGCTTCCTTTTCTGAAAAACTAAGCAAGGGTTGGATTACTTGGCCTCTGACCTTCCTTTCCTCTACGATCCTATCAATTACAAACCTTAAAGTGCTATTTACTGTAAATACCAGATATCCTTATGGCTAATCACCACCTAGTCTATGCTTTCAACACTCAGTCTGAAACCAAGTTTCCCAGTATGAATTAAAGTTGATGGGTTTAATTAAGTAGGAAATAAAATCAAGACTTCTAGTTGTCCATCTAAACACCAGTGCCAGTAAAGCATAGTGAATAGACTACTGGGTTAAAATCAGAAAAACTCATGTTTAAATCTTGCCTCAGACACTGTCTGACCATAAGCAAATCCTTTAGTCCTCCTGAGTCTCAGACAATATCTTTGGCACATGAGTTATATATTGTGATCTGCCCCAATAGAAGAGATTCCTTGGCAATGAAAGCACAAGTCCTCGAGGAATTGATGGTTTCCACCTAAATTTTGGACAGTAAGAGGTGATCAAAGAATAAGAGAAAAAGTGCCTCGTCACAGAGGAGGGATAACAAAGTGCTGACACTTCCGGGTGAAACTTTAGAGAACACCATCCCTCTCAGTCCACCCCTTTTTTAAACATCACTATACTGTATCTGGCTCAGCTAGTCAGTCAGAGGTGTATTCAACTTTTCAAAACTCCTATGATGATTTTGGTTTTGTCTTTTTTTTTTTTTGGCAGAATAGCTGTTCATCCAAACTTTAAAAAGAGCTCGGCAAGAGGTTAAGCATAGAAATTGGGCAGCAGGGATGGGGTCAGAGTGGAAGTCAGTAGAATAGCACTGTGTGGTTCATTGACTTAATGGTATGTTTTCAATTTCTGAATCCTGCAAAAAAGCTCATGTGGAGTCACATTTTTGAGCCATAGGTATAACTATACCTTGCTGAAAAATGTAGAGTATTACACTTGATGTTTTAAAGTACTTTTTGGAATTTTGTTTCTGATATTTGCTTTAATAACTTGTCATAAACACCACTTGAGAGCCAGATCTGTAGTATATGATTGTAGAAGCAATACAGTAACCCTGCTTATCTCTAGTCATTTATTTCTGTTAGATTCTCCATCACCAATTCTGGAGAAAAAAAAATAATGCATCTATTCATAATACATTATTGCATTCATTTAGATGGAAGAATCATTCTGGGTGTCTTTTTTTTTTTTATTGCCATGACCAAATACATTTAACTATAAATGAAAGGCTACAGGTATAAGTGAGCTACAGAATTTTCTTATTCCAGTATAGCAATGCCTCAATAAACCCCCCGGGGGGGAGAAAGCTCCTTTATGTGAAGTCAGCCTCATTTAAAAACAACCACCAACCCAAACCAAACCAAACACCTTGTAAAACAAAGCTGCTTGCTTTTGCAGCTGCGTGCCAAAAAGTACCTTACTCAGGGCACAGCTCCTATTTGCCCTGCTCTATCCTGGCTGAAGATTAACAGGCTCATACTTTAGGCAAAGTCATAAAATCTGCAAACTTTGCCTTTTGTCCCTAGCGTCCTTCTCTCCCTGCCTCACTTTATTCAGCTGGCTGAAGTGTCTATCTTACTCATGTTTACCCTCTACCTCTATCCAAACGGGGTAGGCTGTATCACTAGTCATTTATGTTTGTTGCTCGATCGAATTGATTTTAACTGATAATCATTCAGGCTAAAGTGAGTGGTTGCCTCAACCCAATTCTGTTGTAAGCTTGGAATCACCAGTTTTTTTTTTTTTCTGGTCAGGTACGGGTTGAATTAAATAACCGCTGAGATTCCCACTTCAGAATCTATATTCTCCAGTTGTTAAATGAAAAAGCTTTTCCCCTAGGGATTTCAGGAGTCCATCT